GAGTTCTTTGATGAAGGTAACTGTCGAAAAATGAAAGAGATACACTGTCAAGACCTATGTAATTTAATTTAGCAAGTAATAATTTATGATTGATGCTGTCAAAGGCTTTCGAATAGTCTATAGAGATTAAGGCTAGTGCTATTTTCTTATCTAAGGTACTTAAAATATTGTCTTGCAGATTAGGTAGAGCAGATGTTGTACTATAATTTTTTCTAAATCCGGATTTAATGTCGGAAAGTATAAAGAATTTTTCTAGGTAAGCGGTCATTTGGAACTTTATAATTTTTTCTAAAATTTTGGATAAAATTGGTAATAAACTGATAGGTCTGAGACCATTATACTCAGTGGGTTTCAGTTTTTTAGGAATTGGAATAATTAGAGCTTGTTTCCATGTGTTTGGAAAGTAGCCTTTTTCCAAACAGTCGTTAAAGATGTGGACGATGTGATGGAGAATAACTGGCAGGCAAAGCTGGACCATTGACAGGGATATACCATCAATTCCCTTCGCATCAGATTTTAGGCTCCCTATTGCCTGTAATATGTCATTTGAACTAATCTTATTCAATGAAAAAATATATTCAGAACTTAATTTATTTTTGAACTAGTTTTCGCAAACTAGTGAATCAACAGGTGTGTAGCTATAAACAGACATAAAATAATCATTAATTTTGGTAGGGTCATTAAAACTTGGCGGAAGTGTTGGTTTACTAGGAAAATTTGTATGAGAGACTTCCACAATTTTTTTGAATCATTTTCATTTGCCAAATTTTCGATATATGTCTTTTTGTCCCTCCTGATTATGTTAAGAGCACGGTTTCTAAGCGATTTGAAGTTATTATAGGCGTCCACGGTCTTATTAGTTTTATATAAAGCTTGTGCAGTATTCTTTTCATCAAGAATGGTGCGCAGTTCATTAGTTAACCAAGGTGATGGTGGCTTATTAACTCTTACAGTTTTAAAAGGTGCATGTTTATTATAGGTTTCCACGATAACGCTTGTAATGTGCATTACTTTCTCATCAATATTAAATTTCGTAAATAATTCATCTATGCCCTATGTAGAAAGATCGATAAGAAAATCATCCTCACTGAAATGTTTAAAATCCCTGATTGTGATAAATTTTTGTTTTCTTTTATAAGATGGAATGTCAAGATGAAAAAATACGAGCTTGTGGTCCGAAATACCATTAGTGTCCATGACGGAAGAATAGCTGCATTTTTGAGGATTATTTAAAAATATTGGATCGATTAATGTTGCAGTACTATCTGTGACACGGGTGGCTTCCGTTACGATTTGTGTGAACCCCATCAGCTCAAAACTCAGTGAGAATATGTTGTTATTAAAAAAAATTATATTCAGATCTCCCAATATCACGATGTTATGATGATATAACGAGTGGCTGGGTAGAAAACCATTTAATAAATCTGCACATTGTTGTATGTTTTTAGAGGGTGGTCAGTACAAAACACCTACTAACAGTTCATACTTACCCGCAACCAATTTAACTCAAATGCATTCGAAAAAATCACCAAAATTTGTATGAATATCTACCTTTTCAGCATGTAAATTTGATTTAACATAGATTCCAACTCCACCACCCCGAGATTCTCTATCACAACGCAAGAAACAATAGTTGCTAATATTAACCACATCATCAGTAATATTTTCATTTAGCCACGTCTCTGTAACAGCGAATACATCAAAATTTTCTAATGCTATTAAATTTACAATAGCATCAAAACTAGACATAAGGGAACGTACATTCAAGTGTCCGATAAGCATTTTACTATAAATGTCGAGTAAATATTCAATTTACTTGACTACCGTGCGAAAAACCCTGTTCCTTAGGCCAGCCCTCTCATCAGGGAGCTCTCGCGCCCTCTACTGTGCAATAGCCTTGCCACTGATACCGCGGTGCGACGTGGTCTCGTAGTCCAGTAGAGTGCGCGTCGTCTCCCTGTTAAGAGTAACAGGGGTGGCTCAAAAAATAGGGTTTTTCGCAGGTTAGTAAGTGATTATTCACTCGATGTGAGACACTTCTATTTTCAATAAAATGCTCAGTAATGGCGTCATGTCAATCTATTGTATCAGGCTTGATCCATGTTTCGAGAAGGACACAAATCCTTCTTTTTGATTGGTGGACTGTGCTTCAGCTTTTATATCGGAACACAAATGAAAAATAGGTTTTTGGAGCTGAATCATAATGATTTATGAGTTATTTTTTTAATTTGATATGTGAGCCCATCTTACAAAAATCTTATAATTTTTCTCTAGTTTGAGAGACATAAATGAAATCAACCAAACCCATTAAGTCTTTTACTTGAAAGACGCCTTCTCACTGGTCCAATTTGTCGCAAAGGGGCAAATATTGATTCCCACAGGTCAATAGTGATAGGCTCATACTTTTTGCACTAATTGGAGGTCGCGTTCTGATATAATAGACTTTCGAGGTACCTTAGGGACAATACGCCTTGTCTTATCAGCATCAATTGGTAAAAACAACATAGTTTTATGTATAACTGACGTGCGAATAAGATCAGTTAGGTAAACAAGAGCCATGACAATTTCAACGGAGGTTTGTATAAGCCCACGTGACTTATAGACAGCATGATGCACTCCTATTACTAATATCCAATAGAACAGTATCTCAAAAGGCAGCAGGAGTAGATTAGTTTGTTGTCCTCGAAAAACTGACATGGCTAGTATAAACAACGCAAAGACGATTCCTGTAAGAATACAGAAATACATAAGATAGGCTCAACGGCAGCATATTTGCTACTACGTAATCTGAACACACGGTATTCATGTATGATAGTATACAGGACATTCAAGAACTGTTGCATTGTATTGACAAGACGGGAGATGGTTCTAAAAATTACATTCACCAATACAAATTTTCTCGTACTTAACTGCCAGTCGTATATGGATGTTTCCCAAGGGCGCACTGAGCTCAAAACACAAAAGGACAGCTTCAAAAAATGTTTGGTGGAAGTTCCACAAAATATGTCTACTATGACTGATATTATTTTTCTGTTTGGATTTCAATGTCCACGAGAATATGAGAATTCATAATACATATGGAAAACTACTAGGATTACTTTTTAAAAGCTTCATGCAAATATCGCGCGAGATGCTTTTTTAAGGAATAATTTACTTTGAAGCAACACTTGAGATGTATGTGGAATTTTTGCTATACCAGAAGTTTCACATACCTAGGTCTAAAATTCTCCATTTCTGAGTTATATGATATTTTTAAATTGTTGGCCGTACATCTATCTCTCTCAAAATTCATACGAGGCGCCCATTTTTTCAGTCAAGTCAGTAGTCCAGGAAAGTACTGTAATAGCGAAAACATCTCAAATGAAACAACGATTGTCAGATATAACATTGTTAATTGGTCGATATATTTTGTGGGGTCAGTCAGGTAATCCCTGAACGGTATAGTTGTGATAGATTAATCATAAGAAAATCATTAGTTCCTCTGTCCTACGTATTAAGCCGAATACCCAGTAGTGGTGGATTCAGAAATTGTTGTTTCAGTAGCGGTAATACTCTTATTATTATCACATGTACGTGGTACGTCTATCCGTCATCCATCGTCGTCGCATCGCACCCTGGGAGAAAACGCGAATCTAGCTGTTGTAAAGTCGAAGAGATTTTTTGTATCATGAAGAAGCATATTCCCTTCACAGAAGTGATCACAGGAAGATCAAAACAAGGCGTCTTAGCTCGATTAGAGCCCTTTGCACCATCAGATATTTGCTCAGATCATACTAAGACCAATTCTGATAACAATCACGAGGCATTCAATTATTGTGGATGCCAGTGAAAACAAGTCTTAAAATCTTTTATCTCCAATCTTTTTCTTTTTTATTAAACTTTTTCCAAATAAAATTCTTGGTAGTTTCTTCCAATTTTCGGTTTAGCCTCGTAACATAGGGCTGTTTTACTATGCATTTACAGACTGCTATTTCTACGGAATCGAATCGAACCTGAATATTGAAAAAGTTTTGCGTTCTCGTGACCTTTCTAGAGGTTCTTTAAAAGAAATAGATTCCAAAGTTTTCCCTAAAGGCTTGAATGAATTATGAAATTTTTCAGGGAGGAAAGTCGTTATGGGGCACCCTTTTCAGAATAAAATGTTGCAGAATCATCAGGGCGAATACATCAAAAAAAGTGTCAATGTGTGATATGATTAGCATTTATTCGTATTTTCCTTATTTTTCAAAAAGGTACACGCCCGAGCCTAGATTTGGTCAGAGTGGCATCCAGCATCACTGGAGAGACATCTGTCCCTCGTGACAGTTAAAACAGGAACAAACGTTCGCTACAAAATAATATTGATTTTATCTGGGTTACCTGCATAAGCCGCCATCGTTTCAAACAAGACCTCTCTGCCGCCAAAGGTATTTGCAACCGCTACATGCGCAATGCATAAGGTCAATTCTATCACCTTCAATATCCCGCTCAAGGTCGTAACATATCTTGGTTCAGATGGCATATTTAGTTGCAGAGGTGACAGTGTCAATCCTAATTGTCAACATCTATGATTGTGAAATTAAGTTGGAGTGCGCTTCAGAAACGTTGACCACATTTCTTGTACAACGTGCCAAGCACGCACGCCACTCTAAACGCGCCAGACGACGGCGACGCTCCAAAACCGACAGTTTGGAACGTACGTGTAAAGCGGCCTATTTTGTACTTGCTAACAACTCTACAAAAAGTGGACTACATGTTTCCCGGTTCATCACGTTTTGACGTCTGAGGTGAGAAGCTGATTGGAAAGTGACATCTTTGTATTAGTCTGTAACTATGGCAAAAATGAATTGGGTGTAAATCTAGTAGAACGTGTCTTTTTGTATGCAAATGAACTTATAGAGAATAGAGGAGTTGTTAGCAAGTACAAAATGAATCTATATCGTACAAAAAACCAAAACAAAATACGATTATGTCTACCTGGCGTTGATAAATCCGTCAGAATTACGTGTCATTTGTCGGTATGAAGAATTTTCAAATATTACTAGAAAATCACCTGTTATTCTACTGTAATGAATGCTCGTGAAAAAGACGATAGCCTAGCCTTTCTAACCTCCAAGGATTGTATGTGTCAAGTTGACAAACGTATTGTGAGATCAATCTGCAGAATGGTTGCTCATGGTATCGAGTACCTTTGCACCCACATAGGGCAGTGTAAAGTCGTTGAGATTGCTTTCTGCATATCCGTTTTAGCATTAGAAGGAGGAGTTTGGCATGAAACTGTGTTAGATGGTCTTTTTGCAGTTGCTATCGCTGGACTGATTGTATCCCTCGCCTTGTTAATACTGAGCATTTTTTGTAAGTTATCGTCTATCTTTTTGAGAAATCTGCAAATGAGTTTACGCCTAGATAAAAGAAATGCGATTTGAGAAAGAGTATATGAAATTTTCGAACTGTAGATCATTACAATTTTTTTTAGTGGGATACACACTGGATTCTTACCTGGTTTGTCAAGCAATACCTCTTTTACTTCTTGGTATTTTATCTGTGGTTTTCGGTATTTATACAGCGGTGGAATATGAAGAACGGAAAGATACGTTGCTTATAGCAGGAATTTTTGGATTTGTGACAGGTTGTGTCTATATCATAGACGCATTTTTAGCTTTTAAAAACTACTACTGAATAATAATCATGTACTTATTGAAATAAAAGTGAATATTATATTAACTATAGACACAAGAAACTCTGTAATTACAGACACATAAATTTAAAGATTTGTTGTTTGCTTTATTACATCACAAAAACCTTGTTACCTGCAATCTGAAATTTATTGCTGCTACATTTTTTGTCTTTCTGATTATATCGCGAGGACTTTCGACTTGCCGTTAGTCTTTTGGAATGTTTCATGATGATAATTCAAGGAAATATCTCTTGACGAGTGATATGAGGTTACACCAGATACATGTAAGACTCTATGATTTTTCAGGGTACAGGGGCATTATGTAAGACAACCCAGAAAACGTCAGAAATAGAACGACGAAATGTCATCTTGCAGACTAGGTAGTTTTTAGTGGGCAAATAGTTTATTCCACGTTTGCTCGCTATGATCGCTGTTCGCTGGCGTTTAAGCAACACGTACAGCTATAAAACGAGTTGACAACAAGTGTACAACAGCTCGAGTTAAGTTAAAATCTTGTAGAAAAACCTACGTAACTCCGTGCTGGTCAGAGTTTATAGCGATTTCTTAACTTTCTGATCGCCCTAGAGCATAGTGAAGAATTGATATCTATACTGAGTAACAAAAATAGTACACTGCATGCCTAGGTTAAGAAATGATGACCTTTCCCACCGAGCATTGTATAGAATGTTTTCATTACTAACTATGATATTACCACATTTAATTTGATTGGGCAATCACAACATATCTGGGAATTGTGTGAACGGTTGGAACTGTTTTTATGCATATTATATAAATATCCAAAGAAAATTTCTCAAATGTTGTACTCATATAATTGATAGTGTATATCCGGAAAGTCTACGTATTCTGCTGCGGCATTTGCACCTAGAGCCTCTACAATTAAGAACTTCCATTGCTGGCTTGACATTGCTCCATAAACTTGTACGACAGAGTAGATGCACCAGAAATTCTCCAGAGGTTGAATTTTTGTCGAGAATGACTGACTCTAACTATATGCTATAATTATAATTCCGTAGTTGATAGTTGTGATATTAATTTTGATTGTATTAGTAAAATTTTAGGGACTGTAACATTAGGTATTTTTTGCTTGTTCTGTGGGGTACTTTAGGGCCGTATCGTCAGTTGTTTATACAGTTGTAGAATGCCTTTATGGCCTCCTTGACTTTCATGGTATTTCAGGAAGGCGCTCTACTTTGAGGTTATGTTACAAATATCTATTTGCATCATACTGTTGATGCTTTCAGTTTTTACCATCTGCTTTATCAGCCTGAAATTTCCTACATCTCAAGAAGAAAACATAGCCTGACAATAGGACAGCGCTGACGCTGACACAGATCAGCAGAAATCTAGACATATCCCAGCCTTTCTGAAGGAGAGGAAAGGCTGTGAAAATCAATGAGGCCATAAAGGCGTCCTACAATTGTAGGAACGACTGACGATACGGCCTTTGTGGTCAATGTCGATCCGCCCAGGAGGGGCATATATTTCAGAAAAGATATAGCATGTTTTACCGTTTAAGGAAAATTTGTAGCCTTAGGGTTCTGGGTGGGGGTAGTTGTGCTTATTACAAAGAAAACATAATATATAAGAAATCTAGAAATACCCCGTCCATTCTGAAGGATAGAAAAGTTAATGGGAATTAAGGAGGTCATAAAGCGTCCTAAAATTGTAGCAACGACTGACGATACGGCCCTAAAATAGGTTTATTGTACCAATAGGTAGTAAATGTTGATTCAATCTACTTGATTACTTTTTTATATTAGTATCCTAAAACAATATCGACAAAGTCAGGTAGAACCATTCGCCGAGATCTTGACATATCCCATATCTAAGGGATTACGTAAAACAACAGTCACAATGGCATCATAATCCCTGCAAACTAGTACAGCAACCCCGTGTTGCGTGACTCAGTAGACTACACAGCCGATCAAGTTCACAAAAACTCAAGGCTGCACCTCACGCTAATCAAACTGAGTGCTTATGGCAAGTTAAACTTCTTCATTCAAAAACATTTTTGAAGTAACAAAATTATTCAAGCAGTCATAGCAATAATGCTTGTGCTTCTCCACTTCAACTGGTTTACTTCTTGTCTCTGTTCTAATACTCCCTGGCTTTCTTTCCTTCTTTCCCTTTACTCCTTGAACTCGTCAGGTCTCTTAATAACCAGACCTGACAAACTTACAGACCGGCGATACTTTTAACCCCAGATAAAGATCCACCGGACTTCTCTGACAAATAGTAGTAGTACGAGTAGCATCCACAATGGAAACGCATTAAACATTTATTTCAGCTTGTGTGTCGCATCACAGGCCATCGATGACAGTAATCGGGGGCAGCAGGGCATACACCAAGGGGGCGGTTATAGGGTGAAGGGGAAAGCACTGCAACAGCTGATGCCAACAATGTTACCGCCTCAATAAGCCTTGCAGCATCCGATGTTATTAATACGTCGATGAGTGGGCATTGGCGTTGCATAGGGAAGGTCTGGCGACACCATACAGTCATCTAGCTCTCTAGAACGAAGATAATCGTGGAATAAGGATGGTTACGGACGAGATTTTCTGTCCCAGTTGGAGACGATTTGTGGGTAATCTAAGGAAATCCGAGGATCGGATGAAACTGAAAAAAAAAATCTTAAGTAATTCAAGGTTTTATACACCAGTCGAAAGAGACTTGACAAAATCGAAGCAAATCAAAGAAGATCCAAAGAGAGGAGGAGAGCTCTAGCCCCCAAGACAGTGTCATTAATGACATCCGCCATTGATGCGTGTGGTAGCAACAAGTTATTGATCTAGAATCTCTAGGGCATATGGCCAGGTCAAGATTCTCATTGTACAAAACATCTGCCAAAGTGGCATGCGTTTATGATTTAGACAACTTACTCTTGCGCTCTGATAATGCACGTCAGGTGATTTCAGTCGCGGTGCCCTGATACTTAGGCTTATGCCTATGCGGCTACTTTGGTATAAAAAACTTATTTTGATCACTAAAGGTTCAACTCGGCTTGTTTAGGATATACGTGTGGGTTTCGTATTCTACTGCAGCGAATACTTGTATTTGCCATTGACCTGTCCGATGTCTATTTACCTTTCGTTACTATCCAAAAATCTAGATGTTTACCAAATGGAAGAAAGTCGCATAACAAATCGTACACTACGATTAGCTCGAGGTTAGCAGAGGGGTACTATATGTTATATGCTACTCTCTTCCATTTTGTTACCCGAGTATAGCAGACGACGGGGAATTTGCGCTTCAATACTCCGTATAAAATTATTTCAAATGTCGTAAATTGGAAACTCAATATGTAGGAGTAGGTTTTGAGAATCACCTACCCTTTAAAACCTGGTGCATTCGGCAAAATACAAATACCTTTTCTTTAGCGCATAACATTTCTGCTTTACCAGGAAGTTATATGAAGTTTACAATTTGTTCAGATTTTTTAATTCTGATTCCAACGGTTCTTCCCAGTTCTCAGTTAGCCAAAAAATTTGCAGGAGTTTCCTGAACCGTTGATATGAACAGTTTAGTTACTTTAGGAAATCAACAAACATACACTGCTCATGCTATGTATTTGTAACCGGCCTCTTAAAATCCCGTATCGCCAGCAATGTGCGAGTATGGTATGCGTTCAACCGGATGATCGGATACACTTGCAGTGTTGTGACACTGCCACCATTCCCGCTTTCCTGTGCCTTCCCGCAGGAGTGTCGAAATCGGCAGGATACAGATCAGAGCGACAATATGACGGCTGCTGTGAACGGTTCGTAGTACACACATGTGTCTGTCCAGATATTAGGTAGAAAATATATATTGTGCGTATTGCTTTGGGAGATATCTCATTGGAAAATATGTGGTTGGGGCATACAGATATGCCGATTATTCAGTCTAAAAGCTAATGATGGTGGAACCTTTTGAATAAAATGAGAAAAGTATGAGAAAGGCGAAGAGTACACTAGTAAAGGTGTATGCAATGGAAGCTGTGGATAAAAATTCTGTTATGGAATTTCGATTACCCTCCAAGTAAACAACAATAATAACTCCTAACTTGGCCATTAATTTATCATTATCGACCGCAACGCTCTACTGAGAGATTGCTTTCCTCTCTAGGTGAATAAATAATGAATGTCATTTCAAACTCTTAAGGCTAGCAGAAGAAAAGCAGGGTCAAATAAATATGGTAAAAGAATAACACCATGCCTCCCAAATCTGATCGTTTGAGTTTGTCAATATGACAGCAGGCAATTAGATGTTTCATTTCATGTATCTGTGATTTACATTTAGGTGGGTGAATATATGGCTACTAAATGAAAATATCTGAGTTTAATAAAATAAAGTATAGTAACTTGAAGTATTAACAGCTAAAGAAATCCTATAAGCTTGACCAATAATGACATACTTCTCAACCTAGGTATGTAATCCACTATTGTAGAACAAGTAAATCTCCGTCTTGTTTTGTTTAACGACCATAACCGATAAAAAACTCCCTGACTGCCATATTACCGGGTGAAACTTAGGTACTTCAACCCTCACACTAACAAACAGGCGAAATTTGTAGGTCATAGAAAATAAAAACTTAGAAATTTTATGGGAAATGGCTTTTATCTATGTCCACACTACTGAACCGGATATCCACGTTTTTTGTTGTAGATATCCGTATCTTCTACTGAAAATTTGGATAGGCCTAAAAAACTGAATTTTCAAAGGGTCTTCCCTAATTTCGTCCCATAAACATACTTAACTATGTGTGTAAAAACAACTTACGATTACTGATAGAAAAGGTTTCGGGAAACAAACAACTATGTCTTTTTGAGATGTCTGAACTAAAGACTATGAGATGCAAATTTGTAGTAAGACTATAGCTTCTATCAAAAGGGAAACTATGTTATGCTCTTTGTTATGCACCTCTTTAGTCTTATATCCTTTATTATTTTGAGAACATTACCGGATAGTCCTCTATAGTTTTTGAAAGAGTTTGTTTATCGGAGCAATCCTCCATAAATGCAGGTTTGGGCCATCATGTACGTGTGACAGAATTGCGATGTGGCTCAACCAGCCATTAGAAATCATTATTGAAATGTAAATAATTATCAGACAGATATCACATATAATGTTTTTAGACCACAATATACTGCCCAACCTGAGGGCTCTGTACTTCGGAAACTACATCTCACCAATCAAGTGTTTGTTCCTCAACTCGTCCCCTCAATTCACAGATTTGCGTGAAAATTTTGTCAAAGAATAGAAATTTCCAAAAAATCCACAACTTTACCTTCTGGCAGATTTATATTTTAAGCTGGTCACGTCATCGCCACTTTTTCATTATTTTTTGAAATCTATTAGTTTGTGACGTGTGTGTGGTTGAGTTTTGCTATTTTAAGAAGCCACTTAGACACCAAACTGAATATATCTTTGATGACGCACCAGTTTACCCTTGTGTACTAGACTATATCGGACGGATAACACTGCTGCTGCTGTCTTGATTCCTCCATCAATAATAATCAGATCTATTGATAATTATTCGGAGACACGTCACCTTGGTAACTGACAACAATTTGGATAAATTAGGGGGAGCGAATTTGGGGTAGGGATGAATTTAACCTAGAGGTATCGGAAAGCTGAAACAGGTCTAGCAGTTTCATAGTTGATTAGAGAAGGTATTTTCGCATATATTAAGTCGAATAGTGTCTGCAAGTGTAACCTAGATCACAACTTTCTGTAGGATATTTTATCTTGATGCTGCCATTTCAGCAAGACTTCATAAATATTTGTAAATAGAGAGATAGTTCATTGTTCTTGTAGATCATGTTACATGTCAATTTGAAACTAAGAATCATCACTCATTTTAGCAAATATGACAGTAAAATATGTGTAAGTGTCAGTAAAAACATTCAATTTTAATTTAATTTATTATATACATATAAAGGTATATAACATTTAAACGGGTTTAGCACTCATAGATACACGGCAATAGTCATGGGTTATGGTGAAAATATACAATACTCGTACATAAACAACTTTATCACAAGAAATATTCATCTAGTGGATAAAAATCATTGAAGTAATCGAACAAAGACTTATATTATTACAGTCAAATGCGAAGATGGCGCGTATGTACACATATATAGAAGTTAATGTAAGCAGATTATAACGTCTGAAGGTTTCTCTTCAAGAGTCCCTCTTATTAATATTAAAAATTAATCAAAGTACTATTTTCTGCAGAATAACTAATCCGTTTCATATGTACTTGTTGCCTGTATCCATATGATTATATTGTTAGTGAGGTGAGATTAGACCCGCGCGTAATACATATCTAAAACTGAGTTTTGTTTGATGTTGAGGTTCAATTTTAGGATTGCAAAATGAGCACTGTTAATTTTATCACAAAGTTTATTTATTTGTGGTTGCTAGTGTAATTTGCCATCGACATAGGTGTCCAACAAGACCATTTGATCTAAAAAAGTGGAATATGTATATAAAGCTTTTTTACATCATTTTTCATGAAGGTCCATAGAAAAATGGACTAACCGATCTTAAACAAAGCTGCTCTTAACCACATGAATTGATTGATATTTCACTTACTCAAAATGTCGAATAAACTTGGCAAAGCTATCGCTACTGTCCGTTAGTTGTATTTACAGTTACTGGTACGCTTTATATTACGAAGACAAAAGCTAAACTCAAAATGGTACGCACATGTCAATTGGGTTGTCAGACTGACAGTGACAAGTACAGTTTAAGAAAGTTCATACGTTGGCTGAAAGATTTATGAGGTGGCGAGACGAAGGACCTACGTCTGAGCTTACACAAGCTGACGTTCACGCCCAGGTACATATTGCATATCTATGTGTGAAGGAGATGGATGTATATAAGTGATTCTGGTAGTTTTGGAGTAACCCGCCAAAAACTGTGAAATGAACTGAAAAGGCGAGTATACGCTGACCATTTGGTAAGAAATTTCAAGTGCTATTCTGTCACGAGTTGCTCGTAAATATACTGTTTTAAGTTGTCGCCGTTCGAGTCAGATTTGCAACATTTGGGGCTATCTAGGTCTTCCATTGTGACCACCTCGATGACCTTTGCACGATATAAGCCAATCTACGCAGCTGGGGTGAACACAATGTGAATACGCTCACAAAATATCATTGGACGCTTTTTACTATACTTATCAAATCGATAACTTCGTTAATACTATTGAAATGTGCCAAGTTCGGTTCTTTGAAATCCAGTTGTGAATAAACAGCTGGGTCAAACTACATACTGCGGTTTATTTGGATACTGTCGCATGTCGTACCTCTTCGCTCCGGATGCTGGGCCGGGCTGGCCCATTCAGATTTCTTTGCAATTCCATAGCGGATGATATTTCCGAAATAATGGAATGTCATAACGTCACCATCTTGCTAGAATCATCTAAGGTTTACACCACTACTGCTGGAGATGTTGAAAATTCGAGGAACTGCCTACTGTCTGAGTTTAACTCAAATTAACATTCAAAGACCCAGTGAAGGCAGTGATTGGTACCGTTAAAGAGTTGGTTATCTGCCGTCGTCTTTACAAAGCGAAGCAATGGGCCAAAAATCACAATGAAACATTCCTCGAACATTCTGTTAAACTGTTGACCT